CCTGGGTATTACTCCCATTGTGGAAAATCCTGCTGGCATTTCTCCTTCCAACAGCTCCCCACCCCTTAAACCATTCCATGCACTCAGATAGTTGCTACGTTCTTCATACCTCCGAACAACAATTTTTAAAGCCCCGTTTGGCAATCCTAACCAAAAAAAAAAAAATAGCCCTTACCCCGAGCATGTGCTGTTTAAACGCATTTCAATGGCTGCAGGAGCAAACGGGATTTCTTCCGCGACCCCAAGGCGCTCAGTCATTTCTCTCCGCCCCCTGCTGTGGGGCCGTGAACTTTCCCAACGGGCTAGAATTGTTTCCAGGTAAGTCTGCGGAACGCCGAGGACGCGCCGCAGTCGTGAGACGAAACCCCCAGTCGGCCAGGACTCCTGATCGAAGGGAGTGGCTTCCCCGACCGATTCTAAATTTTCTCAGGAATAAGAGCAGCTGCCCAGTTCGACTGCACAATCCGCCTGCAAGTTCAAACGCACTTTTCCCCGGGAGTAAGGCCTACTGAACGTAATAGAGCTTACTTCTGAGTAGACATACACTCTACAGGGATTGTATGGTTGCACCTCTTGGGTTTTGTTGCAATAGCTTCAAGTAGCTCCCCCACCGCTGGAAGATACTTCCCGCGTTCTGCTCTACAGTTCCTGGAGAGTAAATCCCGCTGGATGCAATGGGATTTACTGTGAGTCAAGCTGATCTGGTTAGAAACAGTATTCACAAGAGGAGTCTCTGCGTTTTCACTCTTTCTTTTTGAACGAACTCAGAGTAAGCTGACTAGCCTTGATTTTATTCTCTGCCCTCATTATGTCGGTTAGAATCCCTTCTTCACTCAAAGGCACTTTAAAAGAAGGAGGAGACAAACCTAGTTCTCTTCAACTCCATGTTTATCCTCAACAACCCTGTGAGGTAGGTTAGGCTAAGAAACCTTGGCTGGCCCAAGTCGCCCACCCAAGGAGCATCGTGGCCGAGTGGGGACTTGAACTTGGATCTCCCAGGTCCACAATCCAGTACTTCAATCACCAGCCACCAGGACAATTAAAAGACAGTTTTAACAAGTACGTAGGGGTGGTCAGTCCACTTGTTTCTGGTCTTCCTTCGCAGATGGTTGGAATGAAAGCCACGGGGCTTTGCGACCCAAACGAATGCCTTCGAGTTGGAAGTGCCTGGAGCAAGCGCCTTGCCTGCTCTCACGTGGTTTTCCTTGCACTGCAATCCAGTCTTCTCAAAGTGGCCAGGAACACATTTTTCTGTGAATAGATACACGTGCATGATCTAGAAAGGAACCTACTTTGGAAGAAGCAGTTCTGTCTTCGGTCTTTCGGCAGGGAAGACAGAAAGAACGGAACACCCTCAACCCTGTGGCACGTGACAGAGGACAGGACCCTGCCCAGAGGAGCTTCCAATATAGTGCTCTAGCCTCAGCAGCCGCGGGTGAAGGATGCCGGGCCAGGGAAAGCTGATCCGAATTTTGACAGTGGGTGGGATGGAGAGGGAGACGCGATTCATCAGGACAAGAATATGGGTTCATTTAAGTGGTAGGAGATGGCAGGCAGCGATAAGTAAATCCTGATTTTGCTTAGCGTGTTTTGCTTAGCGGTAAACTGCACCTTCCTTGGAGCTGCCCCCTTCCACCTCCAACCCCTATTAGCGCTTGAAAGAAGCTTCCTGAAAAGGGGACCTTAGCAGTTCGGAGCCATTGCAGGGCAAATGCCTCCTTTCTCCTGAACCTTTTCCTGGATTTCAGATGCCCTTTGCCAAAGAAACGATCCGTTGAAGCGAAAGGTCACCCGCGGAAGAAGGAAGGAACTCCGATGTCATTCACGGATCAGGCTCGGGGAAGTGAAATGTTGCTGAAACGGGACATGTTTGGGGCTCGGTGCGGCTTGGGCATTCTCCGAGGACGTTCAGCCACTCCGTAGGCCCCATGGGCTGTGGGAACGAAGCATTCCCCCCTCTCCCTTCCTTCCCCCCACAAGCCTCAAGGTAAACAACCCCGAGTGACAGGGCGGTGATCCCGTCTCGGCCCCCCTCCACACCGGGCGCCCCCCCTTCCGTGGCTTAAATTGTGTCATAAACATTGTCGAGCTTAGCCGTGTTTTCTTAGGCGATTTTCAGGTACAATCAAGCCTTCTCGGACCCTCTTTCTAGGGACGGAGCAGCGGTGATCTGGAGGAAGCTGTCGACGCCTGTTCAGTTAATTTAGCTTTGCTTTGTCTAATTACTGGCGGAGCTTAGGGAAAAGGAGTCCGGCTCAGGGCGGTAAAATGACACTGGGGCTCCGTGGGTGGTATAAGCCAGGCAGAGGGCTGATGATGGAAAAAGCCTGCATCCACTCAGCTCCAGGTCACTGTCTGAGACCAGCGGCGGCCCCTCCTCTCTTTCCCTCTCTCTCCAAAGGCAGCTCAGAAAAGCACCAGGGCTGCCTACCCTCAGGAGGTGGCCGGCCTGTGTCTGGACTGTACCACTTCAGGCTGAACTTGTGCGGGGGGGGGGGGGGCGGGCATGCCTGAATAATCCCTTTCCCAAACAAATGAATAAATAACCACTGCCCCACCAGCCTGCCTGAAAGCAAGCTCCCATCTGGGTTTTCCTGCATACACGCACACACCAAATGAGGGGAATCCTTGTTGTAGGAAGCAGCATTGAGAGGCAAGAGCCTACCTTCACTTGCAACCCAGGCCCCTCCTTAGGGTCCTGTTCTCTGGGTGCAAGATTGTGTTTGGACCAAAGGCCTCCCCTCCATCCCTCCGCACCCCTCCTTTTACTTTGGCTTTGTAGTCTTCTGGAGCATCAAACAGAGAGACAAATTGATTTAGGGTTAGGGGAAAACACAAAGGTTTGAAGACTACCCCTTCCTGGACTCACTGATTAGGGAGAGCAGAATCACCTTGGAGCGGATTGCTTCCAAATGCAGTTGTTTCCATCTGTAAGAGGGGAGTAAATGGAGGCAATGACTGTATGCATGTGTATGGGTGGGGAGCTGCTTTGACCATAATAAAACTGTGGATAAACTAGCCCATTTATACCCATTGTCCATGGGGCAGCAAGAATGTCAATAAAACGAAGCTCCCAAAGCCTTTTGCATTGGCAACCAAAGCAACGAGTGGTGTAAAACAATGAGACAGCAAGTGCAGGATTCAAGCAGTCATTCTTGGAGTGACCCATTAACTGAAGTCCCACTGATTTCAGCACACCAGCTCAAAGTGTGGCCATGTCTGGATCCAACCCAATGGTCTTTCTGCATTCACCCTGGGCTGCTCAGGCTGTAGTTTGTCAGGAATTCATTCTCTGGGCCAAGCCAGTGCATGAGTCTCCACTGGAATTAGAAGCAGGGTCTGTTCCTGAGCCTGGCCGGCTGCCGAAGGCATCCAGCATCGCAGGTTGTAAAGAGAAGGGACAGAGAAGAGCAATCATGGCAGAGAACTGAGGGACCTCCTCCTGTGGGGCCTCTGGGCCTGAGCCTCGATTCTCAATTTGCCAAATGGGGGCTAGTGGAGGAGCAGCACACACTCCTGGGAACAACAGGAGTTGCAGGAGTTTGGGATATGTAAAACGAGTTAAAGTGCCTGAATCAGAAAAGGGATTCTGGTGAGCCCCAGGGATGCCGCAAGGAGGGGAAATGGAGGCACTGCTGCAGAATTCCTCTTCAGCTTTTCCAACATTCCTAATATCCATGTGCATTCAACACCCACAGGAAGTACTTCCACTGAGTTTCAATTAGATAATCCCTCCATTCTGCAACCAAGATCGGGTGCGCAGAGGTGGGGCTGATGTGCAGGCCTGCTTAACGGAATACACACCTCTGGTTATGTGCGCGACCTGCGCAGCATATTCTGGAGCTCCTAAAGCCTTGCTAGGATTTGGAGAGTTCGGGGTGTCCTAGATCGCATTCCCGGAGTCGAGCCATCCCGGCCCTCATTGAAGTCAACGGTCAATAATTTCTGGCTGGTCTTTCCAAGCCGGCGAGGGTTGCACACTTCAGTAAGTTTAGAAGTCACAGCAAGCCACCGGATTGATTTCCGAGGACATGTGTTCAGGAGAAATCCCGTGGACTGCTGCCGCTCCTGACTTGGGACTGCAGTGTGCATTCCCAAACTGCTCGGAAGGCCGAAGGTGTGCGGAATGAACGGCTGCAAACCGAAAGCTCAGACCAGCGTGGAAACTGCGTGTCCCTCGAAACGAGGTAGGGGCGCGCGCTTGGAAGCGCGCCTTCGGCCTCGGAGGTGTAATTCCTCCTGCCCTGGGGGCAAAACGTTTCACATCCTACAGCATTCGTTCGACCTCGCTCGGATCGCAGGCGGTCTTCGTGCCAAGGAAGGGAAAAGAGATCCGCACGTTACCTTCGGAGTCTGGTGCCGGGCGTGCGGCTGGGGAGGCTTAGCAACTGTCTAAGGGCAATTTGATGGATGGTGTAATTGCGTGTACGGAGGATGGCAGCCAGAGCGATTTGGAGCCTCCGCGGGCAGCCCGCAGGACTGGAGGCGGGGGTGGACAGAGGCCAGCTGGAGCGGAGCGGCTGCGCCCTCCCCTCCTCGCTTCCTCCTCCCTCTCTGCCGCCCGCCCTCTCAGCCTCCTGGCCTGCTTTCTGGGGAAGAGATTTAGGGAAAGGGGAGGGGGACTCTTTCGAGCAGGCGACAGATTTCAAGACCTGATAGGCGTCCGCGCGTTCTGTTTGGCTGCGCGGGCTGATACGGAAAAGCGGCAAGGGGCTTGTGGATTTCCTCCTCTTTAAAGGCTTCAGGATGGCCACCAGGCGGGGGGCAGAGAGCGGAGCCGGAGAGACCTGAAGGCTCCTGAGTCGGGGGAGGGGGGGGGTCGGACAGAGAGGAGAGAGAGAAGAGGAGGGAGGGAGCGGGCGGGAGCGGGCGGGCGGGCGAGGGGGCGCTGCGCTCGTGTGATAGAGAGAGGCTTGCGCAAGGAAGGAGGGAGGGAGGGAGGGATGCCCCAGGCGCCGCTTCCAGATCGCTGAGGAGGTGGCCCAGGAGGAGCAGCCTCCATGAGCTCCGAGGTCGGGGCCCCGGTGCCTCGCAGCCCGGCCTTGATGAGCCAGCCGCCGCCGCCGCCCTCGGCCCTGGAGTCGTCCAGCAGCAGTAGTAGCAGCAGCAGCCACGCCAGCAACAACAGCAGCGCCGCGTCCACGTCCGCGCCGTCGAAAGCCAAGAAAGCCAGCTCGGGGCTGCGGCGCCCGGAGAAGCCGCCCTACTCGTACATCGCGCTCATCGTGATGGCCATCCAGAGCTCGCCGTCGAAGCGGCTGACGCTGAGCGAGATCTACCAGTTCCTGCAGGCGCGCTTCCCCTTCTTCCGCGGCGCCTACCAGGGCTGGAAGAACTCGGTGCGCCACAACCTCTCGCTCAACGAGTGCTTCATCAAGCTGCCCAAGGGCCTGGGCCGGCCGGGCAAGGGCCACTACTGGACCATCGACCCGGCCAGCGAGTTCATGTTCGAGGAGGGCTCCTTCCGACGGCGCCCGCGGGGCTTCCGAAGGAAGTGCCAGGCGCTCAAGCCCGCCATGTACCACCGCATGGTCAACGGGCTGGGCTTCCTCCCGCAGGGCTTCGACTTCCAGGCGCCGCCGGCCGCGCCGCTGGGCTGCCACCCCAACGGCTACAACCCGCTGGAGGTCATGCAGGCCGGCGCCGCCTACGAGGCCCACCACGTCCCGCACATGTCGCCCAGCCCGGGCTCCACGTACATGGCCAGCTGCCCCGTCCCCTCCGGCGGCGCCGACTACGGGCCCGACAGCAGCAGCAGCCCCGTGCCCTCCTCGCCGGCCATGGCCAGCGCCATCGAGTGCCACTCGCCCTACGGCAGCCCCGCGGGACACTGGGCCTCCTCGGCGGCCTCGCCCTATCTCAAGCAGCAGGCCCTGCCGCCGCCCGCCGCGCCCGCCGCCCCCACGGGCATCCACTCCGGAGTCGCCTCTTACTCGCTGGAGCAAAGCTACCTGCACCAAAACGGCAGAGAAGACCTCTCAGGTAACGCGGCGCGCCCCTCTCTGCTCCCCTCTCCTCCCCACCTCAACCTATTCTTGGGAAGGATTTTTAAAATCAATAATACTAATCTACTCACTCTCAAGGTGCAAAGGCAGCCTTCCTGGGACCATTCGTAGATCCCCAGAATTCCCCAGCAAAGGGTTGGGCTGCGGTCCTCGGCGAGGATGTGGGAGGGGGCCGGGGAGGTATACGTTACTGTAAAGAGAGATATGGGAGTCCTGCCCGGGCCCCATATATCTTCTGTCTGTATCAGCAGCCTCCCTTTGCCTCGATTGCCCTCCTTGAGTTCCTACCCTAAACTTGCGATGCTACCCATACTTAGCTGAAAGGAAGCTCCGTACAAATGAAAGGGCTTCAGCTGCAGGCAGCTTTCGATGTCAAACAGGGGCGCGGGGAGACCGAGCCGCTGAACTGGGGGGACTGTGCGGGGCGAGTGGTCGCCTTATAGCTAGGCGAGAGCTGGGTCCGGCCCATTCTCTAGACACTCAATGCGAGTGATCTCCCGAGCAGGTAAGGGCGAGGATGGGAGACCGAATCCACAGAGCCACAAGACAGGTTACCATAAAAAGCACGCTCAGTTGTTGCATCTGTTAGGCACATCTACTCAGAAGTAAGCCTCATTTGGTCCAAAGGGACTTACTTCCAGGTAAGTATGCACAGGACTCCGTAAAGCCAATCGGATGCATTTGAGATCAGGCCAGGATCCCTTTCGGCTTTCGCTCACTTTACTCTCCTGCAGGCACTTTCAAAGTCTTCAAGGCTTCCAGTCCCTTGTAGAGATGCCGATGTAGAATCGAACGCAGTAATTGTTCCTCCGAATTAATCTTGAATATTAATGTGTGAGCTGGTTTGCGATCAGTGCACATTCACACGGAGGCAAGAGGCACTGGGATCAGTATGACCTACTCTTAGGTCGAAGTGTTTTCGTTTTGTTTGTTTTGCGCGTCTAATATTAGTCCTTCTTACAGCAGTTCTTTAAATGAATGGGACTTGAGGTAGTCATGAGTCCTGTAAAACCCATTCATTTCAATAGATCTAGTAGAATTAACATTGCATGGAACCCATGGCTGGGGGTCATGTCTCAATGCAGTGCACTATGCAAGGCTTCGATCTATGGGGCGGGGCGGGGGGCGCAGAGGATGGATTCTTCTAGGGAAGAAGGGAGGGAGGGAGCTGAACAGCTGTTTCAGCTTCGAAAAACGAAGTCCTTACCAAAGGAAAAAAAATAAGGGTACTGGCTGTGGTCCTAAATACACTAGTATCTTCTTGGAAGCAAGTGCCAGTGAAATCCAGAAGCTTGATTCCGTTTATGATTAGGATCTTAGACGATCTGTAACGTCTGTGCGGAGTATTACACCCGTGTATGAATCCAGCCACTTCATAGCTGATAGGGACCCTCACCTATCTTTCGATTGCATTAGCGATCACAGTAGATTAGATTAAGCACTTCTAAGACAACTTGCCCTGGACCAGAAGGTCTGCCGGCTCCTGAAAGTGAAATCTTGGGTGGATTTTTTTTTTTTTTTAAAGAAAAAGTATCGAAAGGAAAAGCTGCACCGGGGCTGGGAAGAGACACAATAAATCCCTCCACTCGTTCAGGTTAAGTTGTAGCTGTCAGATAACGCTGTCCCAGTAACAAGCTTCGATGCTCCGGTCTCCTTGGTGTTTTGTCTGAAAACATCAGCTTGGACGTGTGAAAACAAAAGCTCCTTCCAGGGGGAAAATAGACCTATTGTTCAGAGAGAAGTAGAACGGCAATCGTGCAGTGTGGGGCGGGGTGGGGGGCTGCAGCAGAGAAAGGGAGAGATTTTTTTTTCTTGCAAGGAAGAAAGAACTAATATAGCCTCCGGTCACCCTTGAAACTGTGCCTTAATAAAAGCAACTCCGAGTTGTTCAGTAGAAGGCCGGGTCAGTGAAGATCAGCGTCGACTTCTTGATCAAACCTGACTGAAATTCACAGCCCTCACCCCTTCTTAGGAAGTGATGCTAACACAGCACCCACTCGTTTTTCCCGACTAATTTTTCTGCTCCAGAGTTTCTTCTTAGGTCTTAGGCTTCTTCGGTCAAGATTCGAGTTCAGTCAGGTTCCACAGTACCCCCTTCTAAAATAGCATCTGGGGGTTTCCTGATCTTGTTCAGTATGATCAATATTCCAAGGCTCCAGTTTTAAGGATATGTGAGGGTCACGTCAATTCATGATTCTTTACAAGTAATTCCAGCCTAGGTTCAATGGGGCTTTAAAAAGTTGTGCATAAGGTAGCCGCCTTCCTTTAGAAGAACCTCCACTAAGTGCAGTGGGGTCATGGCAGACCGCAGCCCTCGCTGTGAGGAGGGCCCGGGGTTCACACGACACAAGTCACCATGACTTTATCGTACTGTGTGAACCGAGTCAACATGTATAGGGATTTCTCTGTTCATCTCAAGGAAAAGATCCATTTCTTAAGAATATGGAGGCAATCTGAAATATTACTTTGTGTCATCTTTCTTGTCATCCCCATTAATTGAATAGTTTTGAGTTACTCATTAATTTTGAGTAAGCGTTATTAGAAGTATCGCAGTTGATCCGGGACAGTTGATCTCAGTGTGACTTTTATACCCTCGTTGGTAAGAATGCTGGAGAAAAAATACCCGGCTACTTAAAGGGATCTTGGTACATCTGCACTTGTATGTCGTTCACTGGGGATGCCAAAAACACTTACTTGGGATGTACGTTTCTCAGAAGTAAATCCCACTGAGGCGGATGGGGCTGTCTCCCAGGTTCCCAAGAAACTTCTGACCATTGCACTGAAGTGAGAGAGATTTGGCTGGATTGTGTCCCCTTCAAACATACTGCAGTGCATTTAATACAGCATGTAACCTTCATTATTCTGTGCAGGTTCCTATTTAAACACTTTTTTCGGTTGTTATGACAGTAGGAGGGGGGGACGTAACAAATAGCGAACTAATTGAAAAAGAGGGTGAAATATTATCTGCGCACTTCCGAGGGATGGGGAAAACCTTTTGGGTGTTTTCAAAATGCAAAAGAAGGCGCTAACATGAGACTCGGGTTATTTTTGTAACTGGAAGGAACTACTGTTTTCCTCTCTTCGCAGTGTGTTGCTTTTAAAAAATGTAGACAATCTGGGTGGAAGAGACCGAGTGGAGAAAATAAGGCACCGAAATGGGTAAAAGATGTTGGGCTCTTACGGGGAAATTTTCCAAATAGCCCTTTTAAACGTGGGTCTCGGAGGTTAACTAAACAAAGACAGTCTGGGCTGGACCACACCGAAGGGGATTGGAGCTTGACTTAACCCAGATGAGAGCGAGGTCTTGTTCAATTTTATGGGAATTTCAACAAGTAACAAATACAGACGACCTCGTCCACCGCCTCGGTTTTCTTGTCGGCAACCTGTTGTCAATCATCATGTGAGTCTCTCTCACACACCCCTTCACCCCCAACCGCTTTCTTTTTTAAATTGGGATTGGAAACCGAGAGCCCTTCCCTGGTGGAAATGATTTCTGCGTGATCTCTGGGAAGCTCCTTTTCATTTTTAAGGAAGAGAAAGGGAATAGAATTGAGTGAACCGGGTGATGCCCAGTCCTTCAGACTAAGCAGCGTTTGGGGGACGATTAAAGGTGCGGAGAACGCGGCTTTAGAGCCAGGCCCCACTCTCCGTATGTGCGGGGCGCTGTCTGCTGGGTGGAAACTGGACTCTGGGCTTTGACGGCCCGGCAATGCCCCGGCAGAGGAGATGATAGCCGCAGGGCACCATCCCTCCTTTCACGCACGCCCACAGTCCAGGGCCTACACCCCGGTATAGCGCCCCTTTCCCTTGGTTTGCAGACGATTTGCGTTCATGCTCAAAATAATCACATCAGTTCCTGGACACGGGACGGGTGCTGGTCTTGCTGTCTTTATTCCTGCTTTGGGACTATTTCCCCCCTAAACCTTTGGCACTTCTGACGTGGCGAAGCGAGACCCGCGATTCAGTCCAACCGCCCGCCGGTCTCAGACGCCTTTCAACGGAAGTGCTGACTTCAGCCCAGAGCCCAGGTGTTGTAAGATTCCGGGTTCTGTTGGCTACAGATCAAGGCAGCGATTTCTGCTCGCGGGACAAGCTTCGCGGGAAGGCGATGGGATTTATCTTGTGTAACTTAACCGTGTGCAGTAAACCTGCAGGTCTGTTCCATGCATTGCAATCCGCCAAACTAGTTGCTCCGAGGTAGACTTCTTAAAGCTCGTAGGACTATTCTGAACAACAGTTTGGTAAAGGGCTGATAAAGCAAAGGCAGCAAAAACCCCTAAGGCATTTCATGTTGGTCTGCAAAGGTGGGAATTCATGCGGGCGTTGACCCATTGAGTTACTGGGACTGCCTTCTGAGTAGACATGGATAGAGTTGCGTTGGAAGAAGAACGCTCCAGACATCTCACACGGCAGAGGAAAGGAAGGTGCCTGCTTGACGGGGCGGGTTAAGATAAGAAAGGGTGGAGGGGGAAAACGATCTGCGTTCAGAGCTAGCCAGAAGGGCTTAACTACCCCCTATTGCAGCCTCCTCAGAACAGCCTCATCCAACCAGGATTTTGGGGGACTGTAGCTCCTAGGATTCTTAGCCATGCTTGTTGAGGCAGATAGGTGAAATTCAAAACATCTGGAGGGCAATGGGTTGGGGTAGTATTCTAGCACCACTTTAGCACCCCCCCAAAAGTCCTGAAACATAAGCCAGAAAGCAAAAGGGGGGGAAAAGCTCTAAACACATTTCTTTGGAAGTAAACAATGCCGCTCTTTTCATTGTACTGGGAAGTAAATCTCACCACGTCCAAGGAGACACAGTCCCAATCCCTTGCAGATCTACACAAAATCAAGTCCTGAGTACAATGGTTATTTCTAAGTAAGTTAGCATCGAACCACAGAGTTAAAAGCAAGCCCAGGGCTTGGGTGCTTAATCCAGGTTTGGCAGGCCTACGGAAGACCCTTCCGTCTAAATGTAAGCAGGATCCGCGC